GCCAGCTTTGCGTCGGGGTGGCAGCTGTGTTGGGGGCTAAGGGGTCTCTTGGACTGGGTGCTGTGGTGGTGGCAGCAGTGCCACGGGCGGGCAGGGCTGTGGCTGGGGTGCCAGGCAGCTGCGGGGACGTCAGCTCTGTGCCCAGGGAAGAGCAGGCACAACTCAGCCCCAGCAGGGAGAAAGGACTGCAGTGCAGGGAAGAGGCTTAGGGAGTCCAGCCAGCCCCATGTCCTGTGCTCCCACCCTACCCCACACGTGTGCAGGTCCCAGGGAATCCTAGACAGCTCTCATAGGGCCCAGTGACCCTGCTGCGTCTCAGGGAGGTGGACATCCCCCTTGCTCCTGGGCATGGGGGCACTCTCTCCCCACCATGGGCAGATCCTGGGAGATCCTGTTCAGAATGCATGTCATTGCTGTGTCCCTCTGCCCCTCTGAGCCGGTTCTGTGTCCCCCACCCCATGGTCACAGCCTGTCCCCCAGACCTCCCCACTAGGGCACTCACGGTGGATGATGATGCCTAGCAGGAGGGCAATGAGGAAGAGGAGGACGGCACTCATCAGAGCCACGCAGAGCCAGGTGAACTTGCAATCGGTGCGGTACTGCCAGCCTGCCTGGCCCCAGAGCTGCCGACCTGCAGAAAGGCGAGGAAAGTGGGCAGACACGAGGTGCTGCTAGCCATACCCCCACGCTCCCACCTCCCTGCATGGCTGGCTGAGCCCTGCTGGGCACGTCTCAACCTCTTGTCCCCAGGGTGCTTGTGGGTCCCCTATGCATCCTCATAACCCTGTGGGGAACTCGCCCCACCACCCTGCTCCCAGACCTGCGGCTGCTCCTGGTGGGGCCCTGGACAGGGGCGTGTGTACAAACCCCCAGGCTGGTACCGAGGCCATCCTGGGGCAATGCAGCGCTGGTCCTCTCCTTGTCCGGTGGGTGCTCGCCCCCTGCCACTGCCTGGAGCTCCTCGCCCTCGAAGACGGGGTTGCAGAACTCAGTCTACGGGAAAGCAAGTGGGGTGGCACCCCAGGGAGCACGCTGTGGGGACCCGCGGAGGCTAGGTGGGGACCCCTCAGCAACACCCCTACCCCCAGCCCTACCTTGCTGTGGTCTAGAGCCTCAGGGCAAAGTGTGATTTCGGTGAAGTCTTTCATGGTGGCGTGCGATTCCCAGCGCAGCGTGGCTAAAAGCCTCTCCAGTGTGCTCTGCCACCCAGCACTCCTCCCCGGCTGCCTCCATTGGTTCCGGGGCAGTGTGGGGACGCCCCACTCCACACACCAGGGCAGAGGCGGTGGCAGCACCAGCTATGCCTACACGTGCCACCTCAGCGCCAGAGCCTGCGGAGCCCCGAGGGCCATGCCCACCGTGCTGCGAGTGCAGGGAACCCCGGGAGGCCAGCAGCCTAAGTCCCCTCTGCAGGCCCCTTCCCCCTTGCCCTGTTAATCCAGCTCAGCTGAGGATGCCGAGGTCAGGCTCTGGCAC